TCGATTTGCAGGCTCAAGATTGATCACTACAGCACGATGGCCCAGCAACCTCGCCCCTCGGTTCGCGACATCGTGCCTTTCACAGGGGCCCATGGGACGCTCCGAGAGGGGCTCAAGGGATGCATTGCAAGCGGTGACTACTCGGACAAGCCCATCGAGGATATCGTGCAGTCGTTAGGCATGGAGGCCGATGATGGGCATCGCATCAGCGCAGCTGGCAGCTCCGACGACCACGAGCGCGTTCAGCAACTACCTCGGCCATCTCATACGATTGATCTCACGGAAGACAGCTTGCCTACGAATACCTACGTGGAGCAGCCTAACACCATTCCAGGATCCCCTGACGAGGATCGCCAGATGGAACCACATGAAGCTGAGGAGAAGCGGCGACGCGCTGAGCAGCGCAAACGGCAGTGGGATGCCGTCGATGCCGCGGCCATCGATGTGACGCCCGTCTTGGGGCAGCAGCCAGCCGAGGTCGATGCAACACAGCGGGAGGAGGCGCAGGAGACGGCCAACGAGGAGGCAGCCGATGCCGAGGCCGAGGCAAGCAAGGAGGTCGAAGAGGCGGCGGATAAGGCATCCGAGGCCACGGATGATGAGGAGGGCAAGGTGGTTTCGCAGTCGCAGCCTGAAGCTGAGGAGTGTACTTCGGCGGCTTGGACTTCGGCGTCGCAAGCTGAGGTGGAGGGGCGTGCCGAGGAGAAGGATCATGAGAATGAGCTCGAGGATGCAGGCTCTGCGACGGCAGCGGTGGCTGGAGCACACAATGCGTACGTGGAGAAGCTCGAAGATGCTGCGCGGGCAGGAGAGGCATACCTGGCGACACTGGTGGCACCAGTGCCCAAGGCGAAGGCGCGCATCGGGAGGGCTCCAGCCAAGCCTTCCACGACGCCCGCGCTGGCGGCTTCGAAGGCGCCTTCACCGTCGAGCTGCGCCCCCTCGTCATCAGCTACGGCTACGTCAACTCGCTTGGCTCCTGCGCCCTCGACGGCAACTCCACCGACTCCTTCTCGGGCATCTCCCACGGCGAACACTGCGTCTGCCCCAGCGAAGGCTAACAGAGGAAAGATAACTATGCACATGCACCGATTATGGCCAGGCCCATCCTGAGCCCAGGATCGGTGCATACGCCCTCCTACCTTGGCTAGGAAGGTATATGCACCGATCCTGGGTCAAGGATGGGCCTTGCCAGGATCGGTGCGTGTGCATAGTTCCCTTCGCCCGAGCTAAGGCACCCGCGGCGATGCCGACGCAGCAGGCAGAGTTGACCCAGCTGAACGCACAGCTCAAGAAGGACCCCAATGGCGAAGACTCTGTTGAGAGCCTCTTTGGTTCCGTGTTCGACACGCCCGAGAAGAAATCCGCTGTGGAGATGATCTCTCTCAAGGAGAAGCTTTTCACGGAGGCCGCGAAGAAGCAGAGCATGAGCGAGCAGCAGGAGCCAGAGCGGATCAGGATTCTGGAAGATGCTGTCAAACATGGCGTCGCTGCTCGCTCGGCTTTGGCCCAGTCATGGGACAGAGTCAAGAAAGAAGGAGGAGAGTGGTGGGAGAAGTACCAGAACGCCAAGGACAAGGGCCGCGAAGCGCAGCAGGCAGTCAAGAAAGCGTGGGCTGCAGAGAAGCTTCAGGTTGAGAGGACAAAGTACACGAAGTCGCAGACGCATCGCCAGGTGGACACGAAGAAGGGCACCTACTTTTCCTTTGCCCGCATCGTGGTGGAGGAGGGCGGCTACTGGGACCCCAGCAACATCACGGCCGCCGAACACTATTGCAATTGCTGTCTGACCATGGGTGGGCCATGGGTGCGCTGGTCGGGGATGCGGAATCGACTCCAATTCCTGTACTTCGAGGAGGGCCAGCAGGAGGAGATGGAGCGCTGCTGGAGCATCTACTCGGACATGGAGGCCAGCGCCGCGGCTAAGAGGCAAGCAGATGGAGAACACCAAGCTCAGCCCGTGGAGAAACGCGTCAAGAAGGAAGACCAGAGCGACGCAGAGGCGGAGGCGCATGGCATGGATCTTGCTCCACCTGTTGGGCCTAATCCTGAGACCGATGCTGGCGATGAGGGCGGGCGCGCTGGCGCCGACGGAGAAGACAGCACGGGCAAGAGCACGGGCAAGGGCAAGAAGGACGCCAAAGGGAAAAGTAAAGGCAAAGGCAACAAGGGGCAAAAAGGCAAGGCCGCTACGGATGATGATCCCGAGGAGCGCAGGAAGAAAGATGAAAGGAAACGCCTGCAGCTCGCGGAGACGGAGGCCAAGAAGGTCGTATCCACCTACAACGCCACGATGTGTGGCTTGACCACCCTCGAGAGCGCGTCGCAGACCATGGCCGACTGGGCTTGGTTCAAGGAGTCGCCGCAATTTCAGGAGCAGCTCAAGTCCAAGATGAAGGCCTGCAGCGACGCGATGCCTAGCTTGATGGTCCGCATGCAGACGGAGAACATGGCCGCCATCAAGAAGAACTACACCAACGAGGATATGATCATCGCGTTTACCGAGATCAGAACGAAGAGGGGACGGGGAGGGACGCATGCTTGCATCTCCGCACTTGCATCGACTGGCGAGGATGAGGAGGAGGAGGAGGAGGAGGAGGAGGAGGAGGAGGAGGGAGGAGGAGGAGGAGGAAGAGAAGGAGGAGGAGGGAGGAGGACGACGAGAAGGAGGGGGAAGACAGAAGACGACGAGGAGGTGTCACTGAGCACTGGCGCGCTGGGGCCGGCACTCAGAGGCTGAACGCTGATCTGGTCAAGGAGGAGGATGAGGAGGAAGGAGAATGAGGAGGAGCAGGAAGGATCCGAGGAGGAGGAAGCGTTTCCTTCGATCCGCCTCCTCCTCCACCTCCTCTTTCTCCTCCTCCTCCTCCTCCTCCTCCTCCTCCTCCTCCTGGGGTCATCTTGGAGGTCATCCGAAAGCATTCCCGAAGCAACATTGAGGGGATGTCTCGAGCGAACCGCTTTAGATATAGTTGAGCAGTTGTTTCTGATTAGCTTCGGATTCCCGTCGGTGCCTTGCGATGAGTTTAGAGTGCTCTGGGAAGCTTGAGGAGTTGTCTTGAATTGATTCTAATGAGTTTCGAGTTCGATTTGATGAAATTCACAGTTACCCCGTTGAGTTTGCAATGAGTTTAGAGTACTCTGGGTGCTCTGGGAGCTTGGACTGGGTCCGATGAGTTTAGAGTGCTCTGGGTGTTCTGGGAGCTCGATTCGTTGCCTTTCAAAGATGCCTCGATGAGCTTGCGATGAGTTTAGAGTGCTCTGGGAAACTTGAGGGGTTGTCTTGAATTGGTTCTAATGAGTTTCGAGCTCGATTTGATGCATTTCACAGTTACACCGTTGAGTTTGCAATGAGTTTAGAGTGCTCTGGGTGCTCTGGGAGAGTGAATGGCTCGGACTGGGTCCAATGAGTTTAGAGTGCTCTGGGTGTTATTGTGGGTGCTCGATTCGTTGCCTCTCAGAGTTGCCTCGATAAGCTTGCGATGAGTTTAGAGTGCTCAAGGAAACTTGAGGGGATGGGCGACGGCACAGGTAAGCGGGGATGGGCAGGATGAAGCCATTGGTCGAGGATTTGGTTGGTTTCCACGGGTGGCTCACGGACATGCATGCGATCTCGAAGAAGAGGAAGTTCTCGTGATATGGCAGGCCACCCTCTTTTTCTTTGCAGCCCCGACGCAGCGATGCAGTTTCAACGGGGATAGGCTTCGACTAGCGAGATTTAAGAATTTCTGGGAATTTTTCAGGAAATCACAAGGAGAACCAAGAAATCCAAAAAAAACACAAAATCAGAGTGATGAGTTTCTGATGAGTTTCCAGTGATGAGTTTCGCGATGAGTTTTGGGTTTTACCTGTAAAAAATCAATATAAAGTCGACTTCATGACACCGGTAGGCGCGATGAGTTTCGGAGCGATTTTGATGAGTTTGTGATGAGTTTCAGAAAAGCACAAAATCAAAGAGAAAACACCGGTAGGATAGAGGGGTAGCAATGAATTTCGAGTACTCCGACCCCCTGGAAGCGCGTCTGCTGGCAAATTTGATGTGGAAGCAATGAAATTCGAGGACTCCGACCCCCTGGAAGCGCGTCCGCTGGCAAATTGATTTGGAAGCAATGAATTTCGAGTACTCCGACCCCCTGGAAGCGCGTCCGCTGGCAAATTTGATTTGGAAGCAACGAAATTCGAGGACTCCGATCCCCTGGAAGCAAGTCCGCTGGCAAATTGATTTGGAAGCAATGAATTTCGAGTACTCCGACCCCCTGGAAGCGCGCCCGCTGTCAAATTTGATGTGGAAGCAATGAAATCCGAGGGCTCCTGAGGTTATGTGGGTTCCCAAAGAGCCTGCCAGTCCAGCCTGCAATGCTTTTCGGCGTGAAGACTTGCCTGCGAAAGGGGTCGCACGCAACGAATGCCGAAGCGAAGCATCATCTTCCGCTCGGGGCTGCTTTCGCACAGGGGGCAAGTGCGTGCAAGGTTTTATGGCGCTGTAGTGATCTGCTTGGTGATATCCTGCTGCGTCGATGCAGGGGCCTCGCCAAGGCCAGTCTTCATTCTCGCCCGCCGAGCCCGTTTCCTGCTTCGAGTGGGAGGGCGAGACGACGGGCTACTCCAAAACGTACCCTGGCAGTTTGCGTTTGGCCCGAGAAACAACATGCGGTCCGTCCCTGTTAACCAGCCTGGAACATTTCCCTATCCCTATACTGGGCATCTCCTCATCGCGATGCCAATCTTGGATTCCCTCATTTTTCAATGGCGAATCCCTAATATTGTCATCGCCTTTTGGCGTGTCAATCTTAGGGATAGGGATACGTTCGAGACTGGTAACCTGTGTGCATGTCGCCGATTGCTTGTAATTTGCATTGCATAGCCCGTTGTCTTCGCAGCGTCCTCTCTCAAGGACAGCCCGTCGCGATGGGAAGCCCGCCTCCCCGGCGCGGCCGCACGCGCCCAGCGCCCGTGGACTGGGAGGATGGGACTTCATGGAAGCGAACTTCGTCTCATAGGGCAGATGAGATTCAGAGGCAGGAGTATGCAGGCAAGCTGATATCGCACATCACGGACATGTATATGACAGGGGCCAGGATGACTGCCAAAGCATTCACAGAACTCGCGTACTACGGTCATCGAGCTGGAGTGCCAGAGCTCCAGCAATTCGAAGTAGCCCCGTCGCCCGTATGCAGCGGGAATTTCCAGAAGAAGTTAGATAGAGCTCTCGAGTTAGGCAAATACGATTCGGACATGTATTTCATGAATATCCCAGGCAAGTCCCGCCACGATGTTTGTCGAACCTCGAAGCAGATCAGCATCCAGCTGCCGCGTGAGATCATATTCAATGAAATCAAGAAGAACCCCGAGATCCTGGAGTCCTGGAGACAGCGGTTTGCAGATGGGCCCTGGATCGATAGTTTTGAAAACAATTCAGTCGTCAAGCGCCTGGGCCCAGAAAAGAGGACCAAAGTCGTGCCACTCGCATTGTACATGGACAAAACGCCTTTCACGAAACATGAATCGTTTTACGCTGTGACGTGCCACGTTCTTGGGTCCAGAAAAAGGGGTCTCATTTTCTGCGAGATTGTTGGTGACCTCTGTGACTGCGGCTGTTCGCATTGGTGTTCTATGTACCCAGTATTTCAGGCGATGAAGTGGTCGTTGCATTGTTTAGCTTCAGGGCACTGGCCGACAGCGCGGCACGACAGCTGCGATTGGCGAGAGAGCGACTTTCTTCGAGGACAAAAGGCAGGGCAGGCGCATGGCATGGAACAATCAGTAGGGGAGCATGAATACACACACAAGCATACGCAATAGTTCAATCGTTGTAACATGTATGAGGTCACTTTCTGCATCCTTGCCAGAGTGAGGAGACCCCACGATTCCAGCATCCCTGTCGGCGTCCGAGGGTCCTTGCCGATGCCATCCTTGCCACACTAGACAGCATTCTTCACATGTGCCCCACAAGGCTGAACCTAAACGGTGTTTTTCGTTGGTGTCCTTATGTGTTAGTTTTCCCTCGCAATTGTCTCGAACCCGCCTTTACCGCAAAACGAAGTCGAAACGACAACGGCCCAAGAGATCATCAAAAACACCGTTTAGGTCCAGCCATGGTACCCCATGTAGGCGTTCGATCCAGAATTCTACGGGTTTGTCGTTGACATCAAGGCTGATTGGCCAGAGATGGCGACTGGCTGCGGCTTCCCCGCGCACTCTAGTGGTCATGCGCCGTGCTTGCTCTGTTCATGGGACTCCGAGCGTATCTTGCAGCATCGGCTGGGCGACCACCTCGATCGGCATCCTCCAGGTTCATACGATAGACATTGCAAGGGACACGAGATCTGGGTCTTCATTTCAAGTGAAGAGATGCACAGGCGTATCCGTTGGACATTGGAGTTTAAGTCGTCGTTCAGGGGGCGAACTCTTGTAGAGGATGTGCATGACACTCATCCACCTCTCCGCCGTGGGGACCGTCTGGAGGCAAGCCCGTCGCTTTTAGACGTGATGGATTTTGACTCTAAAGCCGATTATCCCTTCCTGGTATGTTTCTGGAGACCTAAGCCGCGCGAGGAGCGAGTTTACCACAGGAATCCACTACTGTGCAGGGAGCTGGGAATTGACTTGTCGACGTTTTCACTGGACGAGCTGCACTGCTGTCATTTGGGCGTCTTTAAGTTTTGGATTTCAAACGTGTGGTGGAAACTTTTGGAGGCAGACATATATGGCACGGGCTGCACTCGACAGGAGGACCGCGTGCGTCTCGGGCTAGGCCATTTGAAAAACACACTGCACGATTGGTACAAAGACGAGAGGAAGAAACGAAACTTGGGCCCGAACCAAATCACAGAGGTAGGAGACCTGACGCCAGGCATGATAGGCGAGAAGAACAAACAATCCCTGTCGACAAAAGGAGCGGAAACGAAATGGCTGATGCTTTTCACTTGCGATTTGTTGGAATGGTACCAGAGACAGTTGCCTCCTGACGACCATGCTCCTGAGTTAGTTTTAGCAGGGAACGCGTTGAGGTCCTGGGACGCAACGCTCATTGGTCATCCTCGAAAGGTCCCCGACGACGTTTGCAATCAGCTTGAGGCCTTCGCGGCCCTGCACTGTATAAATGCAAATCGAGCTGGAATCCCCATGATGCCAAAGCATCATCAATTCAGACACCTCGCAGCTCAGGTCCGAGAGAAGGGGAACCCTAGGAAGTTCACGACATATTTTGACGAGGGCATGAACGGTAAAATAGCAGAGATAGCGAAGACAGTGCATAGGTCCAGATTTCGGCAGATGGTATTCAGGAAGTATTGCAAAATGTACGAAGGACGTTCGGCAGCGGGGCAGGGAGCATGCACGTGCTTCGTGACAGTCAGCATGCCTTGTCCTGCCTGCCTTTTGCTTTAAGCTTGGATGGGGGTTGTTTGCGCGCGGCCCCGCGGGGCCTCGGGCAATGGCATCCAAGAAAAGGCCGGCACGGAAAGCATGTGCTCATGAGGAGTGGGGAGGGTTGTTCAGGCAGTTGTGGCAATGTGGGAATTTCGAAGAAAAGAGTTTCGATTTAAATCAGATGCAGCTCAATGAGTTTTAAAGTACTCCTGGGGGGGCCTTCTGATTTTCATGTCGAGTTATCTCGGGATGAAACAAATCGAATGGGGGCTCATCCTGGGGGCTCCTCCTCCACCTCCACCTCCTGGGGGCTCATCCTCCAACTCAATTTTGTAATACTCCTGGTGGCTCCTCCTCCATCTTCTCCTCCTCTTCCTCCTCATCCTTCTCCTCCTCCCTCGCTCCTCTTCCTCCTGCTCCTCATCCTCCTCCTCATCCTCCTCCTCCTCAGCGATTTATCAAAGTCCGCAGCCCGTCTTCGATTGGGCAATTCGGCGGGTGCTGTGAGGGGGCCACGGTGAGGACGAGGACGAAGAGCACGATTGACGGCGAGAAGGATGTGGGGGATGAGGTATAACACGGCTACGACGGCGACGAAGGGTGCACCCCGTCCTCCCCGTGGCCGCGTCGATCAGTGCCACGACGTCGCCCTTGCAACCTTCGGTTCCGATCAGTCCTGTCAGTGCCTATAGCCCCCTCCTGCCCCTTCAAACCCCTCCCTCCTCTTCTAGTCATCCGACGGCGGGCGGTGCCTTGGCGTCGATCGGACGTGCGCACGTTTCCTTCGGCGAGGGCCATCGAGGAGCATCCTGGCGAAAAAAACACGCACGAAACCAAAAACAACACAGGGAACGGACGTCCGAACGATGGCGAGGGGCAAGGACCAGAGACGTACCTTATTGACGCTGCATACTGATACTGCTACTGGTGCTGTTACTACTGGTGAGGCGTTTGGCGGCGGCGCTACTGGTGCCGTTACTACTGGTGAGGCGTTTGGCAGCGGTGCTGTCGCAGATGTTGCCGAGTTCGCCAAAGCCGCCTGCCACGCTATCGTTTCAGAATTCGGACGCGATTTTTTTACTCCTCAGCTGGGGCTTCAGAGAGTGACAAGATTGGTATCGCGTTACATGGGAACCATGGATCGCGACCTGGACTGTCTAGAAATTTCCTGTGATACATGTATGTCTGAGACATTCGTGAACCACGGCCTGCACGCCTTATCATGTTCTGCTTATGATGAGGACAGGAGGGCATGCACGCATATCCCTTGCCAGTCGCATCCCTCCTCATCCTCCTCCTCCTCATGCTCCTCCTCACCCTCCCGTGTTTGACATGTCGCCGATTCGCCTATTCGCAATGCCCGTTCGGAAGTAATGATATGCGTCTGTTATTTCTGCATTAGGTTTGAAAGTCACCCGCGCGACACGCGGGCGCCATGTGGGTATGATCCCCTAGCTCGTCGACACATCCGAGAAGGGCCTGGAATAATGCATTCGTTTCTGTTGGTTTGGAAAACTTGGGCCCGCGTGCAGCCATCAGCAGTGACTGATCTTGAAGGAATTGTTATCCTCCTTCGTTCCCGCTCCGCCTTTTGCATTCATCCACCAGGGCTGGGTGGTGGAGGGCAGAAACAGCATCGATATTGCATGCGCGCCCGTGTTTATGTGTCAACTTGGGGGCCTACCGTTGCACTGGCTGGATTCGCATTGAAATTCTGATTAAGAAACGCCATCAAGAATCAACGTGGCGGCGTCGATGCCTGTTCGCCATCCCCGATGTGTCGGTTGCTGTTGGAAGGTGGGAGGGGAGGACATGACGTTGCTGCGAAAGCAGATTGAACTGGGTGTGAACGTCCTACGCGTAAAGGAGAAAGGCATCATACTGTTTGCGACTGATGGTAAAACTTGGAGCCGATTCCAACGGTCATCGAGCTCAGCGAATCGAACATACGAAAACGTTCTTGGCGATGATACGGAAGGGGCGGGCTTGCACTATAAAGGGACATATGCGAGCGGTCACATGTCGTTCACTGGTGAAATGATCATGCTAACAGAGCCCGTGGCCATCCCTCGCTGTTGCCCCCGCTGAGTCTGCCCCCCCCCAGAGGCCTCCTCCACCTCCTCCCTCTGCAACCTCTGCCCTCCTCCGCCTCCTCCCCCCTCCACCTCCTCCCACGATTTGCTTCTGCATGCTCCTAGCTAACCCACAGAGCTGGTGAACGGAAGGGGAGGACAATATGCACTCAGAAGCTGCTAAGGGGAATATTTCGGTGGAGGTTGTTGCATGGCTTGCGATGTTGGCAACAACTCGGAAGGTGTGGCGGATGATAGGCAAAGAGTTTCAGTCTCGTATGTTCGAGCATCCTGCGCTTGATGTTGCAACGAGGGTATGCAAAGCATGCTGCGTGTTTGCATATATGGGCGCATTCGTGGATTCCCCCGTGCTGCCTAGAGCGGTCCATCTTCTCACGACTGTCCCGAGAACGGTGTGCCCGAAGCTAGAACGGAAGAAACCGCAGACGGGATTTTCGAAATCTCAGATGGCTCATCACTTCTACGAGAAAAAGAAAGCAGGGGGCGCTCCCGATCCTATATTCGTCCCTGGTTTTTGCGAAGTGCTCTACTGTGCATGGGCAGAAGCTCGGACAGGCCAGCACCCCCGTGATATTTCTTACTGATCTTCACTGGCTTGGCGGGGGGATGGCGAGGATATGAAACTGCGAGTAAGCGATGATAGGAAGGGGAGGGTTGGCGGAGGAGGAGCACAGACTTGGAGATGCGAGGGAGGATCGGAGGGGGGATATCATTCGCTCGCTACCGCCCCTCCCTCGGGAAGGAGGGGTGGAAGAGAAGTCCACCATTGGAATCCTGAAGCGATTCGGTCCCGATCGGCAAGGATGGGGATTGGAAAGGAAATGGCATGGTGAAAACCAGACCCCTCCAATCCTGAAACGCTTCAGCCATTTCCTCGGCAAGGATGGGGGTTGGAAGAGAAATGCGACGGGGTTCTCTCGCCACCCAAATCCTGAAACGATTCGTAGCGGAAATGCAGTTACCCCACGACCCCATTGCGCACGCATGTGT